AGGTAAATAGTGCTGTGGGCCCTGGTATTAGACTATTTTTGACTTTTTACATAATAATTATATACAGATTGTGGCTTGATGGCAGGAGATGCGGTCAAAGTAATTTAATCAAAAGCTCCAAATGAATTCCAGTAATTAATGTTGATCGAATATGTCACGCATGTATTTATGGACTTATATTATATTAAAGTTGGATGCGCCTCATGTTGCAATTCCAAACTGACTGAGTTGATCATGGGTTTGCCTGACAGGAGAAATTAAAATCTATCCTTAAAGCAGCTGAGGCTAGCAACTGTACTTAAAGGACAACTCACCCTCAAATCCACTTTTTTTTGCTGATAAACGGTATAAATGAGTGTCCAATAGTGTTGTCTACATATCCTGGTCATAATCTTGTCACTTTGGTGCAAATTAGTTGAAAGTTAAACTTTCTGCCTAAAACCGTCTGTGAGGCGCCATCTGCTGGCGACCTGTATTACTACATTTGAATTTTGAATCTGGCGCCAACACTGGCACAGAAGTTGGACCTGACGTCTGCAGCCCCCCGCCCAGAGCAATATAAACGGCCCAGTCTCGTTCACGCCCCTTCAGTCCTCCAGGCTACGCCCATTTAGAGGAAGATTTGAACAGGAAATGTGAGTGACGTAAGCTCCGAGGAGCGGGGGTGAGAACCACTTTAATGGTTTATTTAAGACCAAGCGATAAAACCAATTTTTCTAGATTTTTCCATAACTTTGTATCTGTTTTTTTAACCTGCCTTTCTAAAAAAAATAATCCGCAATAAGCTAAAACCGCAAAGTAGCAGATATATATTTTATGGCTGTAAAAACCCCAACCACACAATTGAAACACCTTTCTAACCACCTGCCACCAATGCAATCATGGAGATATCAAACCTGTTTGTTGTTTGTCTGAGTCCTGCTGTATTTGTCAAAAGCCATGACACTGTAGAGGAGTGTGGAGCTTAAGTCCAACTCAAATCACAGCAATGACCATAAAGGGTCATATTTATCGCCTCAGATGTTGTTAAAAGTAACATTTATTCCATATTTATTGAATTATTTATCAGAACTATCATATTGGACGTAGCTTCTGTTGATATCCACTGTCAGCATTAAAACAGCCGTTTAAATATTGAAATATATTGAAATATTGAGCTAATCAAACTATTCAAGAATAACACTGTAGTAGTTTTCTCTTGAAAGCGTGATAAGCTTGTGCCTGTTGTGCCCGTTTTCCTGTTTCCTCCAACCCCTTCTCAATCCCTGTACGTGCTTTTGTTTTCTTGTTTCCCGTGAAAATTATGTGTGCAGGTTTTGAAATAAATATTTCATTCATTCATTCAACTAATAGAAAAAAAACTCTAATTCCAACAGACCGCTGCCCCCTTCAGGTCAGGTGATTGTAACCGTTTATCTACAGTCACGTTGGATATGTTGTAGAGACCTAAATTCATTTCCTTGGGTTTAAACATGATATCACTAGAGCAGAGAATATAACGCATCATTTAGAGAACTAGATTTCTTATTGACATGAACGAGCAGACCCACAGCCTGTCTACTGTGCTGTTTTAACTGATGAAGTCCATTTACCATTTGGGGAAAAGTTCAGTTATGGGCTTTTTTGCATTTCATATTTTCATATATATATATATATTTAAAAAAAAAATTCATACCTGCATACATTTTCACATAAGCATAACACAAACACAACTGACACAGATACAGTAGAAAATGATCATACTCTCAAACAATACTCTCAAACAAAAACAAGAAACTTCCTTTACAAAAAGCAATAACGTACAGCTATGCGTACATGGACTTGTTTTATGGCAGTTCATGAATAGTTAAATATGCAGCTTTGGTTCTGCATAGGAGCCTCTAACACGTTGCAAAAATGTAAGATATAGAGTTGATATTAGTGCCAGAAATAGCAGATGAATTTCTATCATTTTAGCATTTTTTTCAAGAGGACACATGCATCACAATACAGACACAGAAATGGCAAACTTTATTGGCTTAGTCGTGACCATTTTTCTCATTTAAATTTGGAAAGGCTCCGCATTTGTTTCACTTTGATAGCGGGCTTATTGTCACTTCCACACTGTGTATTTTAATGATTTCAGAAACAGCGCTGCTCGGAAATAAAGATAAGTGCGGCTTTTGTTCTCGTTCTGAACAACTCGGCGTGTATTAAAAGTGACTGGGCTGGGATTGGGTTTACGTGCCCCGGGGGACAGCCATGTGACCCGGGTGCAGGCCACGAGCTGCTGGTATGGACTATGGAAAGCAACAATAACAATAATAATAAGTGAAAATAGCGTGAGATCTTTGAGCTAGTCGCACAACATGGCCCGAGGTGCAAAGAACTCTCCACCTCGTGCTGAAAGATTTAACAGCTGAGTCCAAGTGGCAGGAGAATATCTGCTGCTGCTGTCGGATAATATTACACACCGATCTCGAATCCTTTTAAACAAGACATCATTATTCAGTGGTAAGTGCCTTTTGAAATGCGGAATATTGATCTTAAACAATGTGCTGAAAATAGCGAGCAGTTGCTCTTTTTTCCTCTCAAAAAATGCCACCACTGGGATGCCAAATCATCCATGGGTCCAAGATGAAGTAACAGTGTTGGACAGTTTTGGTGCAATGATGACTTGGACATCATTGCGCCAAATGGGCAGGTGCTCTGCGAATTGGTGGGTACCTGACTGCCACCCCCCGACCCAGAAATGGATTAAGGGGAAGAAGATGGATGGATGGATGGATGACTTGGACATGGAGATATGTACTATATAAAATGTTGCAAATATGTTATGACAATACTAGCACATACTTTAACCCTGATTCACTTATGTGTCTCTCACAACCAAATGCATGTGGATACTAATGAGGTGTCAAAACCATAGACAGTATATAATATGCACAGCTAATGGCCTCTCTTTCCCACTCAAACTAACAGACACTCATGTGTTAGCTCCTGTGAGTAGCCCCTCCCACCGCAAAACTGAAAAAAAAAAAATGCTTTCCTGCGCATGGGCCAAGCAGCGCAAATCGTGAAGTGATGATCCACGGCTGGAACTGCTGTTTTGGTGACAACAGCAGTTCCAGCTGTGGTGTCATGTGACCATGGCGGATCTGCACCAGCACAAAATGGCTGCAATTTTTGTAAATTAAAAATCACAGTGGCTAAACGAAGGTGGAACATATTGGTTGAACAAGAATTGTTTTTGACTCTGAAAGTCAGAGACAGACTGCAAATACCGTGATTGGACAGCAACCTGCTCTCACTGGTCAAAGCGCTGCAGTTCTGTCCATCAACATGGCGTTTTGTGAGGGAAAACAATGGGGCTAAAAACATCTCAAGGTCATTTTCTCATACAATATACATGTAAGCTGTGGGTACAGATTGGTGTCATTGATATCTTGTGGTTTACATACAAGCTCCATGAGCATGGGTTAAATTGAATACCTTTTTGTTTTACTTTATGTGGGTCCCAGACGAGAGGCCATCATGCGGGACCCCTACAAGTTCCCATTGAAATGCTTCTCCGCTGAATAACATGGGGCTAGAGTGCAGCCACACAGCCAGCTGCGTGCTCGAGGTGGCAGCAATTACGCACGTCTGGAGAATCCATTCAAATTCAAGTGTGCAAGCTCTTTATGTCTGCGCAATTGCACAGTCAAAAGTTCGTGGCATCATCTCTCATGTTTATGCACGAGTGAACCAACCCCCATCCCTATGCTCACTGGGTAAAAACCTCAAAAAAGAAGGTTTTTTGGTCATTATGTGTCCTTTAAAACATAACAAAGAAAACTGGAGGACAAGGCCCTCAGGGTGAACCTGTCCATTCAGTGACAGCACCAGTTAACAGCAGTAAAAGTCCATCACCATCCATTTAACAAGAGACCAAACTCAGTCTGACAACAGCAATGCATGTAATTACAACACGATCACAGCGGCCCGGGGAGTGGAGTGAGTCTGGACTGTCCCAGGGCAACAACAGGTTCTTGATTGAGGGACGCTGGAGCAGTCGTGTTCATGATCGCTGTGTTCTGTCCTCTGTGAGAATACACAAATAGATGATGGATACGCAAGAAGCAAGCAAAATTCTATAACATGAATTTACTGTAATCTGTTGGTGTTAGGGGCGACAGAAGCTCAGTTGGTAGAGCATTGATCCCACCACAACCCATGTCATCTTCTCCCACTGATGTCTTTTGTCGTTGTGTCCCTGGGCAAGACACTCAACCCTACTATACCTGAAGTCCTTGCTGAAAGATTAAGGCCATATCTGCGTTGAAGGAGCAGCCATCTTCCTTTTGCCCCCCCACTTGCAGGAGGATCAGCGAGGGTCTGGTGCTGTGAGACTTGGGTGGCACCCCAGTGACCCAGAAATGGACTTATAAAGGGATGAGAATGAATGAATGAATGAATGATGAATGAACTTTGTTACTTAATTGTTGAACACAGGTTGGAGTTCACAAGGGAACATGTAGAGACCAATAACATAATGCAGTGGTCTCCAAAATGATCTATTACACTTCAGTATAAAATAAAGTTGTTTGGCTTTTTTAGCGCTCTGCCACAATTGAACAACATGACAACACTTATGATGCTTTTATAATTAAGTTATAAAAGTCAAAATACAAAAAAAAGACGGAAAAGAAAACAAATCATCTGCCTCAGTCCTGCATTGCGTGGTCTCGGTGCTCGTTCTACAGCCTGAGTCCTGGATCTACACCCGGAGGTTTCTCATTTTGTTTCACTGGGTTCTTACTTTCCTTGCCGATGCAGGATGCCGATGCTCGACATTAGTCATCCAGCCCCTTATGGACCAATGGCTTTATGTGTTTTTTTCTCGATGTTGGCGAATTGGACAGTTTTGTAAAGTCCTCAGAGATAATTGCTGTTGAAATTTAGGGCTATCCAAAAATAAACCTAAACACAATAACTCACACTTGTTCCAATCCTCGGCCACATCGGTGCATCCTGGTCCCTTACAGTCGCACAGCTGAAGCAGACAGGTATACCCCCAGCAGACCCCAGCTCCCTGTCGGACATGAAAGGCCGGGCCCACTGCGGTGCACAGCGGCGGCCTGTGGACTCACCTCGAGCCTGCAAACAAGAGCTCTGCTGGGATCCACGGGGGGTGGTCCTCCCCTCAGGCTGGGTCCCATTGGAGACGAGCGCTCAGGCATCAAAGCACAACAGCGTTGGAGGAAAATTACACTGATCAAAAGGGTTTCTGCTTTTAAGCGCCGCATTCACCACAAAGACTTTTGTGGTTTTGTCAACTGTATATCTGCCTTCCACCATGCTTTTCTGTTTGGTGCTTAAAACCCAACTACATGATCTTTTTGCATAACCTTATTGCGTAAGAATTGCAGTAAATTTGCCAGAAATGTGCAATATTTGTAGAAAGAATGGAAAATACAAAGCATTGTGAAGTGCTTTGTTAGACTTTGGTCTGTGAATGCACTACTTAAATGATTTTTTTTTATATACTTTCATTTAAAGCTGGAATAACTAACTTTTATGTTAAACAACCTGTGTTTTTGCTCAGTGGTATTGAGCCTCTTGATGTATGTGGCTCATAAATAACATAAATAACATCCTAGGATTTGTGCATTCCCATATTCAATTCAATGTATTCTTGTATAGGTCTAAATCACAACAACAGTTGCCTCAAAAAACGTAGTTATTAATCAGAATCAGAATATTTTTTTATTGCCACGTAAGTAACAGGAGGTCACAGACTTGGAAATGGCTTTGGCTCAGTGCAACAGTCAGAAAGAGAGAATCGAAAATAAAGAACAAAAACACTTCTAAGGAATACATTTAAAATAAAAATTTAAAATAGAGTTACAATTACTACATACAATACAGTCGACATGGTGCACACAATGTAAGGTGACAGCAGTACAGTGAAGTAAAGTGACGTATGATGGGCAGTAAAGTGACTTTATAAAGAGCAGTAGGGGACAGGTTAAGAATTGTTCAAGAGTCCAACAGCAGAGGGGAAAAAGCTGTTCTTGTGGCGGGAGGTTCTAGTCCTGATGGACCGCAGCCTCCTGCCTGAGGGGAGTGGTTGGAATAGTCCATGTGCAGGGTGAGAGGGGTCGGCTGTGATACGACCAGCCCGGCCTCGAGCTCGAACGACGTATAGGTCCTGCAGCGATGGAAGGCTGCGGCCGATCACTTCCTCTGCAGAGCGCACAATGCGCTGTAGTCTCTGTTTGTCCCTGACTGTGGCTCCAGCGAACCACACGGTGACGGAGGAGGTGAGGATGGACTCGATGATGGCCGTGTAGAACTGCACCAACATCTGTGCAGGCAGCTTGGCTTTCCTGAGCTGCCGCAGGAAGTACCTCCTCTGCTGGGCCTTCTTGATGAGGGAGCTGATGGTCGGCTCCCACTTGAGGTCCTGGGTGATGGTGGTGCCCAGGAAACGGAAGGACTCCACAGAGGTGATGGGGGAGTCCATCACGGAGGGTGGGGGCGGGGGGACAGTGCTCTTCCTGAAGTCCACAATCATCTCCACTGTCTTCTGGGCGTTCAGCTCCAGGTTGTTACCACTGCACCAGGACACCAGCCGGTCCACCTCCCTCCTGTAGGCGGACTCATCGTTGTTGGAGATGAGTCCAATGAGGGTGGTGTCGTCCGCGAACTTGATCAGCTTCACGGAGTCGTGGCTGGAGGTGCAGTGGTTGGTGTACAGGGAGAAGAGCATGGGAGAAAGACCACAGCCCTGTGGGGCTCCTGTATTTATAATCCGAGAGTCCGAGACATTCTTCCCCAGACGCACTCGCTGCTTCCTGTCCGTCAGGAAGTCAGTGATCCACCTGCAGGTGGTATGAACAATAGAATATAATGTTTCCCTGTTTAATGTTCTGCCTGAATCTACCACATGTTGTGAATAAACTTCCAGGTTGCTCTGGTGTGCAAAGATCCCTGCCTATGCGTCTGATTTTCGACAGATTTGGTGGGGAATGCGGGACTGAGCACACTTTTGCCCTGGTTGTTTTGAAATTGTTTTTTTCAGCGTGAGAGAGCTGAGACTATCTGGGACAGACGCTGTTCCAGCTGGCTGGAGAAGTGGTCGGTTCGGATGTTTCTTTGCTCTCTCACTGACCTTTCTGACTGTTTTAGTATTTAAATTTATTTTTCCATGTCTGTATTTCGGGGATTTCTGACGTGTGATATTTCTCAGCCGATGGAAACTAGTTCCCGGTACTAGTGAGCATTGTTTCATGATCTGAGAGACCCCGGTTGGACGTGGAAAAAGCTGGTATTTGGTGGACCTCTGGACAGCACCTGGGCCCTGTTTGACAAAGGAAAAGGTAAGCGGACACCTGTTAATTCAAAGTCTGCCTCATTGAGTAAGCTAAATTGTGGTCTGTTTTTGGGGTCTGCCAAATGTTTTATCTATAGATAGGATTGTATTGAAGAGAGGTTAGCTACCTGCAGAGGAAAAGGGTTAAAGGCTCAAGGGTTAAAGGCCCACACAAGGGTTAAAGGCCCACAGACAGGTTTGAGGCCCACAGAAGGTTAAAGGCCCACAGAGATAGGGGTTAGAATCCCCCTAAGGGTTAATGTCCCACAGAAGGTTAGAGGCCCATAAGAATAGAGAAGCCATGGTATAGAATACATAAAAACAATTTAAAAAAGGGAAACGTTAAATAAGTATGGACCCTTTTGTTACTAGTGTTGAAATGGACCATTTGAGTGTATATGAGTGTAGCCTAGATTAATGAGATAGATTAGAACCAACAGAGATTCAAAAAAATTAAAAGCATTTTGATGTATTTGGGTAGCCCAAAAACCAAAAGTAGATATTTTTGAAAAGTTAAAAAAGTTGTTGATTTGTCAGAACAGATTAGAGAATCAAACACCATTGTAGAATAACTGACCCCAACCCCAAACCTGCTCAAATAGATTAGCTCTTATAAGGATAATACCAATTTGATTACTGATGTACATTCATCCCAAAACTGCCTGAGAGGAGGAAGTTACAGCACTTCCTGGTTCAACAAATGTATTTGGAAAACTGACCATAATAATGTTCATATCAACTATTTGCCTTACTGTGCCCACAGTTTTATTCTTGAGAATGTAGAATAGACATGGAGCAAAATCCCACTGATAATAATCCACTGATAATGAAAGTAAACCACAGAGAAATGTATTAGATTAAAATATATGTTTAAGAATATGGCTCAATAAAAGCAAATATGCAAACATATTTGTAAATAGATTAGAATAGTTTTAAACTATAGTGAATCAGTAAAAGTAAAGTACATTGTCTAAGATTGAAAAGTGATAATAATAAAGTGAAATAAGTGAAGTGTAAACAATTAGCATTAGACTAAAAGTATAGAGTAAGGAATATTGAAATAAGCTTCTAAATTGAGACTCAGCTCGTTTTTGTCTGTGTTTTGACTGAATCTGCTGAGTTCTACTGTGTCCAATAGTTTTTGTTTTTGTTTATTTATTTAATCAACTAAATTAAATGATTACATACTGAAAGTTATTTTGTTTGCAAGTAAAGAATCAGTTAAATTCACTTTACTTTTTGTTCTTTTGTGTGTTTAATTTTTACACTTTGATGAAGGCCAATTAGAATTGATTGATCACATGTGTTTATGTGATCAAGGGAGGGACTACGAACAATAGAAGGCCATGGCCTGTATAGTAGTACAAAAACAAGATAAAATATAAGTACAAAACACACAATGTTCTTTGATTGTATATCTCATGGGTTAAAGTTGAAAAAATTCCTGAGCCTGAACCATCTATATGAATCATAGAATGATCACTAATAAGCGTTTTTTATAAGCGCCTTTATACGCTCATACATATAATTTATATCTATTTATTGCCAACAACTGATGTTTATTATAAACATCAGTTGTTGGCAATAAATACATCATCTGACTATTGAATTGTTACTCAAATGTAAAGCCTCACCTTGCCAAGACCTTTCTGCAAGTACCCCTAGTTTGGATTTGTGTAATAATGTAAAAAAAAAAAAAAACATACCACATCACAGTAAGTGTATATACTATTTTCTTTTTTTTAATTATTATTGATGTTATTACTAACATTTTATGTGTAAACTGTAAACTGATTAAACATCCAAACTAGACATCAGATATGACATACAAAAACTAAAAACACTGGATCAGGCAACAAGAACACTTCCAGATTCAACCTTAAATATATAAATAAACCTTAACTTTTAAATTCTACTTATTAAACATTTAGCTTTCAACACAAATAAATGAAACTAAAGTGCAAATGAGCTTTGTGCTGTGTGTCTTCATAAAGCACCTGTGTTAACTTTCAATAGACTTTGATTTGGTAAAACATTACAAAACAACACAAATGCTAACAGTACTGTTTGAAATATTCATTTCTTTTTCTTTTGTTTAGGGTGTGAATTATCTGTATGCTTTCTTTTTAACATGTTGGGCGGAGGGTTTAATGAGGAGGCTACTTTGTCTGAACAATTAAATAGAGGGAAAAAACCGCATGGTCCAGAGGAGGAAGCAGCTGGTGCAGAGGAGAGTTGTCTGGCTGGTCCAGAGGAGGAGGCAGCTGGTGCAGAGGAGAGTTGTCTGGCTGGTCCAGAGGAGGAGGCAGCTGGTGCAGAGGAGAGTTGTCTGGCTGGTCCAGAGGAGGAGGCAGCTGGTGCAGAGGAGGAGGCAGCTGGGCAGAGGAGAGTTGTCTGGCTGGTCCAGAGGAGGAGGCAGCTGGTGGAGAGGAGAGTTGTCTGGCTGGTCCAGAGGAGGAGGCAGCTGGTGCAGAGGAGAGTTGTCTGGCTGGTCCAGAGGAGGAGGCAGCTGGTGCAGAGGAGAGTTGTCTGGCTGGTCCAGAGGAGGAGGCAGCTGGTGCAGAGGAGAGTTGTCTGGCTGGTCCAGAGGAGTGGGCAGCTGGTCCAGAGGAGGAGGCAGCTGGTGCAGAGGAGAGTTGTCTGGCTGGTCCAGAGGAGGAGGCAGCTGGTGCAGAGGAGAGTTGTCTGGCTGGTCCAGAGGAGTGGGCAGCTGGTGCAGAGGAGGAGGCAGCTGGTGCAGAGGAGAGTTGTCTGGCTGGTCCAGAGGAGGAGGCAGCTGGTGCAGAGGAGGAGGCAGCTGGTGCAGAGGAGAGTTGTCTGGCTGGTCCAGAGGAGGAGGCAGCTGGTGCAGAGGAGAGTTGTCTGGCTGGTCCAGAGGAGTGGGCAGCTGGTGCAGAGGAGGAGGCAGCTGGTGCAGAGGAGAGTTGTCTGGCTGGTGCGGTGGGGCTGCAGCCTTTTTATCATCTCCTCTGGACCAGCCAGACAACTCTCCTCTGCACCAGCTGCCTCCTCCTCTGGACCAGCCAGACAACTCTCCTCTGCACCAGCTGCTTCCTCCTCTGGACCATGCGGTTTTTTCCCTCTATGTAATTCTTCAGACAAAGTAGCCTCCTCATTAAACCCTCCGCCCAACATGTTAAAAAGGACATTCAAAATTCTGTCCACATTTGTTTGTGGACACTCAATGTTTAAGAAAAAGGTTTCCCTATCAACTTGGTGCTAGTGCACAGCGCAGTTTTATCAACTGCAAATGATTAATGATAATTAAATCTACCAGCGGTAGTGATGGTTCTGAACGACAGGTTATTTTCTGCGATAAAGCCACAGATAGTTTTAGGTCACAGACACAGTCCACCAGAGCAAGCCTAGTCTCAGTTGTCGCTGAATCTGATGCACCAGGTAAAGAAGTGTGGGAAAGTGCACGGACAGCTGCCAAGTGCGCAGTTTTGAGCTGGTGGTGAATCCAAAGCTGTTTGATTTGTTTTCTCATTACTCCCATATAAAAAAATAATAATAGCGAAGTACGAACAAGCACCGGACACCTTCATCTTTTTGCACCATGAAGCAACAGAATCCCATCGTCTCCACCTCATCCAGCCATGCCCACCTCCATTTATTTTTCACTCCGTTATCAACAGCAACTTATACAGCTCCTTCTTCCATAAACAACGATCCATGATTGTGATTGTGCGTGCATGCTAGGCTAGCTTTGATGAATGAATATAAGACCTGCTAACACACACCTTTCTTCAGCGAGTTTCTTCCGTTCGCTCTCGTTGATTTGCTTTTTTATCACGCAGTTTTGCATGCGGATCGCCACCAAGATATTATCAAAAGCTCACCAAGACATGCTTGTCCCCATTCCCAGTCACAGCAAAGTACATATTGTACATTCCGTTAAATAAAAAAGCATTGCGTTTGGTAAACGTTAATTATGTCCTACCTTTCCTCTGATAACGCGCCCAGTTTACCGGTCCGCGGGCTGCTGGCTGTTATTGCTCCGTTCGGGATTACATTTTCCTTGTCCTCTTCTCCTTTTCAAAAGCTCCGTGCACTTTTCAGAAACTTTCACCTCCGTGTTACCATCGCTAACTTGGCTACGTCCCATTGCCTTGAATCATTTACGGAGCGCTCATGTAGCTAGCCACGGCACGTTCAAGGCCCACTCGTGATTATATTACTTTTTATTTCTATATACATATAAATACAATTATATTCAAATTATTAATATATATCTAGATATATACAACAGATTCACACGTATTACTATATATTTTGTTATAATTAACCATTTCATTGTGTGTATTATATTATTATTATATATTTTGTTTTTTTTTCAGACCAATTTCATTTGACGGAAATCCGTCACTTAGACGGAACTCTTTAATCCCTGCGCT